TTTTTATTATGTTATATTAGTCACCATATAGTACATCATTAGTTTTTGATGTGGTGTTCCAAGATTCATTATTTATGTATAATACCCAGTGCTCCATGCAATATGTGCCTCCTTAATACCCATTACTGGGTCAACCCATCCACTCAACCCTCCCTTCTAAAACCTTCAGTTTGTTTCTTGCAGTCCACAGTCTCTCCTGGTTCATCTCCCATTCCTTCTGCCCCCTGCCCCGTTTATTTTTCCCTTCCTTCTCCTAATGTTCTCCGTGCTATTCCTTATGTTCCACAAGTAAGTAGTGAAACCATATGATAATTGACTTTCTCTGCTTGACTTATTTCACTCAGCATAATCTCCTCCAGTCTCATCCATGTTGATGCAAAAATTTGGTATGCATCATTTCTGATGGCTGAGTAATATTCCATTGTATATATGGACCACATCTTCTTTATCCATTTTTCTGTTGAAGAGCATCTCTACTCTTTCTTCAGTTTGGCTATTGTGGACATTGTTGTTATGAACATTGGGGTGCATGTGGCCCTTCTTTTCACTACATCTGTATCTTTGGGGTAAATACCCTGTAGTCTAATTGCTGGGTACCTCTATTTTTAATTTTTTTGAGGAACCTCCGCAGTGTTTTCCAAAGTGGCTATACCGACTTGCATTCCCACCAACAGTGTAAGAGAGTTCCACTTTCTCCACATCCTCTCCAACATTTGTTGTTTCTTGCCTCGTTAACTTATGCCATACTAACTGGTGTAAGGTGGTATCTCAATGTAGTTTTGTGAATCGCTATATTGTATACCTGAAACTAATATAATGCTATATCTTATCTATACTGGAATTAAAATTTTAAAAATTAAATGGGAAGATAAAAACTCATTCCTATTTAATAGACAACACTCTGATTATTAACAGTGATGAACCTTTTTTTAAAGATTTTATTTATTTTATTTTGACAGATAGAGAGTACAAGTAGGCAGAGCAGCAGGCAGAGGGAGATGCAGACTCCCCACTGAGCAGGGAGCCCGATGCAGGGCTCAGTTCTAGGATCATGACCAGAGCCAAAGGTATCCGCTTAACCAACTGAGCCACCCAGGCCCCCCAAGGATGAACATTTGTAAGAACACCCCAGGCTTGGCTAACCTGTAAGTACTAACATGGTCACAGTCAACCTATGTAAGTATAATTATATATGTGTATTAAAAACGTACCTTACATAGTGGGTACTCAATAAATGATAGCTATTATTACTGTTGCCATTGCTTCTATTAATACATAAAGTATGATTATTTTTAACCTGTACCTTCTCTTTCAAGCCCTCAGCTCCCATAAACCATGACTTTCCAGTTATGTGGGTCATCCCCAGTTTGGTGGTATCTCAGAAGAGTTTTTTCTTCACTGTGGAGGTGCTACACCCAAGTCCTCTGCTGCTGGTGTTCTCTCTTAGTCACAGCTTTGCTTTGCTGGTAGCTTTCCTAAGCCCTCAGTGTTCCAAAACTGCACTTAGGGTGGGTAGCAGAGTGGCAGAAGTGTCACCTGGGCTTCATATATGGCACCACCTTATGCTTAGAGTCTTATAAATGCCTTTATTAATATTGCTCCTCCATCTTTTAGTCACAACCCACTCTCTTCATAAAGGCTCAGGCCACAGAGTATACAAGGGGATAGTATGTCATGCTCCCCACAGTAGGAAGAACAATGGCCCCAGAGATGTCCACCTTCAAATCCCAGAACCTGTGAATATGTTACTTTCAATGGTAAAGAACCTTTGTTAATGTGATTAAGTTCAGAATTTTCAGATGGAGGAGATTATTTCAGATTATGTGGATTGGTTCAATGCAATTATACATGAATTCTTATAAGTAAAGGGAGTATATAGGAAACTAAGAATTAGGGAGACAGAGAGAGAGAAAGAGTGTGTGTGTGTGTGTGTGTGTGTGTGTGTGTGTTAAACGAGTTAGTGCTTTGCTGCTGCCTTGAAGGTGGAATGGAGCTGCAAACCAAGAAACACAGGCCACTTCTAGAAGCTAAAAATGGACAAGAAAACAGATTTTTTCCTGGAACCTCCAGAAGAATTGCAGTTCCGTAAACACTTTGATTTTTAGTTCAATACAACCTATTTTGGAGTTCTGACCTCCAGATCTCTAAAATAATAAATCTGTGTTGTTTTAAGCCACTAAATTTGTGGTAATTTGTTAAAGCAGCAACAGGAAACTCATATGCTCCCTTAATGTCCTTGCCCCTTGCCCTTATTTCTCTTTTCAGGTTTCCTTTAAAACTCTTTCCTTCTTTTTTGACCCCAAATTGAAAATCCCCAAGTTACTTAAAACAGGAGGGAACATGAATTGAAAACATCTGTTGCTGCTTTTGTTCTTTTGTGAATTGTTTATGTTCTTTGCCCCACTGATGACTCCTAAATTCAGAAAAATATAAATCTGTAGTTGTACTCCAAGACACCACAATGAGCCACACTCTCTTCTGTAGCCATTAATTCAATCATCCATACAAGAAATAGTTGTTGGAAGCCACTGTATGTCAGGCAATCTGCTAGCATTGAGATGGCAGTACTATCTATGCTTTAGAGGAAATAGAGGTTGGATTTTTATGATTTGAGAACAATATGCATAAATTTTTGTTTGTTTCAGTCTGGTGGATGTTCTAAGATTTGTTTCTTTCTGGAAAACAATTGGGGTACATGGAGTCTCTTTCACTAAGTAACAAGGGACAGGAACTGTACTCTGGCTTCATCCAATCTTCCAATTTATATTCAGACCTAGGCAAGAGTTAATGAATTCAATGATAGATAAGCACAGATGAAAAACAGCACAGCCCAGTCCATCTTTGCTTAGGATAATTTCCCCCTCTCTTTATCCTCTCCAGTTCTGCTTTCCTGTCTCTGACGCAGGGAACTAAGGCTCTGAATGAAACCTGTTGGAAGTTCCAATTAAATCTTTGTGGACAAAGGGCACACATGACATCCTCAGATAACAGGTGGCAATAAATCCATCAGAACATCCACTCAGAGAACAGAGTCCTTTCTGAACTGCTAACAGCTGCCAATACCTCACTGAGTACCTCACATGAGATGGGCTCTAAGGTAAGGTGTTTCTTTCCCTGGACATTTAATCTTTTCTTATAATTTGTCTCTTAACAGAGAATTTTGACTCTAAGGTACAGTTTACTACTGATTGGCAAATTCTTGGTTTGGTTTGGTTTGGTTGTGTTTTTTTGATCTGTCTTTACAGTACTTATTCCATTCAGGTTTCTATTGCCTTTTTTTTTTTTAAGTCTCTTAATTTTTTCCTTATGTATCCCAGGTAAATTTGTATTTAGAAACACTATCTTTACATAGAGAAATGAAAAATCTTAAATGATTGCATGTATTTTCTGGTTAAAACTTATCTGGGTCTTTGGTTCCATGGGGACCTCTTGGTCACTTAGAACTATAGAATGGATGATCTTCTCCCAGCTCTGGTCTTAGAATAGAACAGAGTAGCTCAGTGCTTGGGATGCGCCCAACATTTAAGACTCACTATTGAACTCCAGTGATAATCACTTAAAATTATTTGCTTCTTGTAAAGTATGTTAATTATGAAAGTCAATTAAAAAATATTTAGGAACTACAGAAAAGGAAAAAGAAACTAAAATTAAATTAATAATTATAATAGCTGACACTTGAGTATGTATTTTTCTAATTTTAAAAAATATCACACATAATTTTTTTATATAATTGAAGTCAAGCTGCAAATATAGTTTACTATCCTTTTTAACTTAACAATATATTGGGTATTTCTAAGTCATTGAAATTATTAAAAAATGATTTTTAAGAGCTGTTTATATTCCACCATTAAAATGTTTGATTTTTTCACTAATATAAGTAATTCAACAATTAGTAATTTTAAACATAAATCTTTGGCCACACTTCTGATTTTTTCCTTAAGATATGTTCTGAAAAGTAGAGTTACTTAAAAGTAGAATTACTGAATCAAAGGTTACATTAATTTTAGAGCCTGATGCATTTCATGATAGTAATATATATTAAAATGTGTATGATTGATTTTGCTGATAGCACAACTGAAGTCATACACACACAAAAATTCTTCCTTGAAACTGCTATTACCTGAAGTTTAACAAAATATTGTGACTTAATGCTGACTAAAGACATGAAATCCTAAGTAGAGAACTAATTATGATAGCATTTTATTTACACACAGTAACACACCTTACTGAGCAGGGATTTATAGCTCAAATAACATAGAAGTGCTTCAAATACCACAGTATGAGGGAAGATGGTGGACTATAATACTGCAAGTTAAAATGCTTGGAGTTTCATTCCAGTTTGACATGAACTATGTAAAACAGTCTCTTAGCCTTCTGAGTCTCATATTTCTCATCTGTGAACTGACAGTGTTGGTATACGTCAGTGTTTCTCTGGGCACCACAAGTAACACTTGTAGCACATGACATATTTTGGGGTGGTACAGACCATAGGCTATAATTTTGGATTAAGGTACACATATGAACCATAATTTGTTTTGTATGGCACATTTTTTAAACAATAGTGGTTTAGTTTTTAAAAAGAGTGGATTTAGAGGAAAAGATTGAACAAGTAATAATACAAATAGGCTCCAGATATTGGCATAAACCATTGAAGTGATAGGAATTTGAGACACAGAGCTACGTGAACAGAGCTAGAATCTGCTTAATGTGCTAGGTAGAATTCCAGATATAAAAAGCCAGTAAGCAGTATTTTCTTAGAAGGCAATCTGAGAATCAGGTGGGATTATTGAGATGTATAGGAAGTAAGCAGAGATACAGGCAAAGAAATGGTTCAAATACATCCTAGTATTTGCAACTACTTGCACTTTTCATTTTATTAGTGAGTTTCACTTGTCTGGGCAGAATTTCTCCCCTCTTCTATAAAGGCTGCAGAAGACCTATAGCTGTAACGGGACCTTTCATAAGAAACTGGAGAAGACGCTCCCAGCCCAGCCATCACCATGCCCAGGGTGTTTTTGGACACTTCTCAGCAGTTGCTAAAGGAGGGGAGAGAGTCACAGAAGCTGGTACTTGTGGTGGTATTTGTTGCTCTGCTTCTGGACAACATGCTGCTTACTGTAGTGGGTATGTTTGGGTCTTTATGCTGGGGGTTAATTTGCTCTGGGCCCCAGCAGGCAGCATACACCCTGATAAAATTCAGCAGTGAGTGGACTTGAGAATTTTTCTTTTTATGCTTAGAAAACACAAAATAGAAAATGAGATTCAGAAGTATCATATGACTTGCCTTAGGTGCCCAGTTGGGGTTCAAGCTATATACAACTGACTCCAGAGCTAGAGTTTCTTACACTATACTTCCCTGCTCCTACCATTTCCATGCTCTGCCATCTTTATATGAGAGCTGAAATAATAAGACAGAGACTATCTTCTTCCACCTCAGCTGTGAAAGTAACCATTGGTAACTTGAAATTTTCCCCACCCTCTGCCTGCGTGTCCAAGAAAAATTCTGAAAACTCCATGGGTATTGATTTTGTGATTACAACTAAATGTTAGGAAGTAGGTGATTGGCCAATACAGAATTCAGGAGTAATGAGGACCAGTTGTATGTAGGTTAGAATTTAGGCACTTAATAGGATAATTTGGCATGTACAGTTCTTTAAGTAGGCTTCAAATTATGTCACTTAGACAGCTTCCTTAAACATGAGTGTAAAGCTCATAATAATGCCCCTGAACCAGTTAGTGTTAAAAAGTGTCCTTGGCTCTCATCATTTGTCTTTCTCGATTTTCAGTGCCCATTATACCCAACTTCCTGTATGCCACAGAATTCAAAGAAATCAACACTCCTCTCTACCTTGGTTCCACCACAATTTCTCAACATGTCCTTACTTCTCCTATATTCTCCACCATCTTCTCCTTCTTTGATAACAACACCGTGGCTATCGAAGAAAGTGCACCCAATGGCACAGCATGGACAGATGACAATACTGGCGCCATCCCCCCTCCAGTCACTGGAGCCATCCCAGCACAACAAAACAACTGCTTGCAAGGCACAGAGTTTCTGGAGAAAGAGAACATACGGGTTGGGGTTCTGTTTGCTTCAAAGGCTATGATGCAACTTCTGGTCAACCCATTTGTGGGGCCTCTCACCAACAGGTATCTTAATGGGTACAGTGCTCTACATGGTACTCACTGCTCAGGAGTAAGAGGATGATAGGCTAAGGTATCATAAAGGTAGTTAGAATGGAAAAAGAAGGAAACTCATTTGTCCATCTCCAGGGCAAACAACTGTTTGGAAAACTGGTTACCCAAAGGGTAACATGATATTGATGAAATGCCATAGGCTTCAAATTTTCTTAGTGATGTAATGATTATTGAGCACCAAAAAAAAAAAAAAAAAAAAAAGAACCAGTGATCAGAAGTATACTGCTGATATTATTGCAGTGCCTTGAAACATGGCTCCAAGGCAGGACTACTGCAATCTGGAGCACTGGCTTGTTAGCAATGTTTGGGATTATCCTGATGTTTCAAAGGATATACACTCTAACTAGGTCATCTTTTCTGGAAAAAAGGATTTGGGCCCTGTTCTATGGGTAAATTTCATGTTTGCTCATTTACTTATACAAGTTAATATATCATGTCCTATCTGTACACTTGCATTCAGAGACACGTTTATCCATGTACTCAAATAACTGCATTTCTCTTCCCAATCACATGAAAAAAAACCCCACAAAAAAACAGCCCAAGTATATGGATGTCTATTGGGACTGTATCTTTTTTCTTCATAATTTTCTTTTAGGATTGGATATCACATCCCCATGTTTGCTGGCTTTGTTATCCTGTTTCTCTCCACAGTTAGTAAGTAAATTGCTTCCTCTTCTATTTCTTTCATTGATTACCTTTGATTTTATCACATGCACTACAATGCAGAGAGTAGGGTCAAGTTAGCTAATGAGGCATCTGACTAAATGGTCTATGCAAAATCCTTTGCAATTTTGAATATGGGTATTAGAGCAGTAGTGGCAAATCAGTCTAGTTGAAATTTGTATATTCTGCTATAGAAGAACGGATACTTTACTTCCTTCAACTGGGGAAAATTGTAGTTTGTTTTAATAGATATGCTGTTTTGTGTGTGTGTCAGTAGTCCCTTGAACGAGGTTAGTCCAAATATCCCAACTTTGGGAAGAGGTTGTATTATTTTGATACACAAAGGTAAAGGACTGCCAGCAAAGAATCTAAATTGGACAATAGCAACTAGATAATACCAAAAAGTCTACTGCCTTGAGGTAAGGACATTAAAGGTCATAGCTTAGAGAAATAAATTAGCTAAAAAAACAAGAAAGAGAAAGACAAATAGTCTATCCAATATCAGATAAATGTTCTAATAAAATAGAGATGGGGTAAGAACAGGAAGTAAACAAATTTTGTCTGGAAATTTACCCTGAGAATTAAAATAAGAAGGAATGATGGGGGGTGGTGTGCGGTGGGAGGTTAACTGAAGGAGAAGGCAGCCCTCTGGAGCCTTTGGTGGCTCCCTGATATCTCTGCTGACTCCCAATAACATATCTCCTTCTTTCTGTTTTCTTATCAACTTTTAGTTACTTTTCTGCCTTTTCTGTTGCTCCTCCTCAAGTTTTCTTCCCTTTCAGCATATGGCTTGACTCTTCTCAACCAATACTTAATAGGAATTTGTTAGAGTCAATGCTGGAAGGTTGCAAAGAGCAGGAACTTGATCTGTAAAGTTCTGAGAACTGGAGCTTACTTGTGAAAATTCTAGTAAATCAAAGAAAATGAGGGAATTCAAGTTAGAAATGTTTATTGAACTTCTAGAATCTCAGGCTATGCCAAATAATAAATTAAAAACTAATAGGATTCTTTGTTTCCTCAAATGAGACTCATAATTTTCTCCAAAAAACTTTATGTAACACACATAAGTCTTGATGGCAGAAGTCACTGGGGAAAGATAAAGAATGGAATGACATGCTTCCAGCCTAGGAGTTGGGGAGATACAACAAACACCCTGCAAAATAGGATAATGCTAGACTATTGCGAACTCTTTAGCATAAGGACCTTGCTGGATTCTCTGCAATTAAATAATTATTGTTTCCATGTCATAACCAGTGTTACTATACTAAACTGGTTGAATTCTAGCAAATGTTGGTCTTTAGGGAATCTTATGGGGCATCTCCTTGGGGTTTTTTAAGTTGCTGATGCCCCTTACCACCATTAAGGGCTCCTAACTGAGACCCATGCTTAATCTAATTAGGAGCGAAGTGGTAACCCATGTTGGGGGTAAAGTGAGAAAGAAATTATTTTGGTTTTCCTACATAGGGTGACCAACCTTTTTACTTTGTCCTGGATTCGGGGGCCTCCCAGAATATACAACGTCCTAGGCAAACTGGGAAAAGCTGGCCATTCTATTCTCAAAGGACATAGGAATAGAGGTACCTGGGTGGCTCAGTCAGTTAAGCATCTGCCTTCAGCTCAAGTCATGATCCCAGGGTCCTGAGATTGAGTCTGTCTTTTGGGTCCCTGCTCCTCCAGAAGCCTGCTTCTCCCTCTGCCCTTCACTCTCCCTACTTGTGCTCTTTTCTCTGTCAAATACGTAAATAAATAAAATCTTTAAAAAATCTTTCTAAAAAAGGAAATAGGAAATAACTAACCTTGAACAGACTGGAAATCAGAAGGCCTAGGAGAAGATATTGGAAGCCCAGCAAAGAAGGACCAAACATGCACATGTTTGGGAGACAGTGTGATCACATAAAGAAGTAATGAGAGAAGATTACAAGACATCAAACAACCCAATATATCTGTAATGAAAGGGTAAAGGGATTCAGATTCTGATGATTCAGATACTTTGGGGGAATTTTTTCTTTCAAGGGCATTGTCTTGATATAGAGGTGAGACGTGTCTGGATTTACCAAGCTTACCTCCAACACCATGTAATTTAGTTTTTGATAACATATTCCTGTTTGGTAGTCAGTTTTGTGTATGCTAGTCTCACGTAGATGGAACCTCTTAAAGGACATGAACTTGACGTTCTCTTTATTTCACATGATGCTGTATAGTTGTATATCTAATATTACTTAATACATACTCACTGATTTGATTTGGCTAAAATAGTTTCCACTATAAGATAAGAGGAAATATCTAAGATACTATTTTCTACCCAATGCTTATGGGTCCTTCAATTACACATAGCTTTTATTCCCTCACTGTTGATGACCCACTGGAGCCCAACAATGACAAAGGTAAATCTGGGTATTGAATATGAAGGATTGAGAAGTAGGGTCTAAAGGCATTATACTTATTGGACAGCATGATTCCAGTGGACAAGATATTGAGCTTTGGGCCAGAAATGTGAAAATCTAGGCTTCCATCCACTGTGTGGTAAATTGGTTTGTGTTTCTGTGGCTTCTTAGTTTTCATGTCAATTAAAATACAATCCTGATTAAGGTGTGGGAGATTATAAAGACAACTCCAAGAACAGGGGAACAATGATCATCCTTTATTAAAACATATACATAGTGGTTCATATCTATAATATCATGGGCACATTTTCCGGTGGTGAGGGAACAAAGACAATTTGCTAACTGGAGCATTCTTGCTATTCTCTATACACAGTGTTTGCTTTTTCTGGTACCTATACCCTACTGTTTGTGGCCCGAACCCTTCAAGGCATTGGATCTTCATTTTCATCTGTTGCAGGTAATGCTGACATCACACACACACACACACACACACACACACACACACACACAATCTCTTACTACCTTCAGACCCTATAAGATTTATGAGTAGGTAGGAAAGTATTCTAGTGGGCAGAAATTATGATTCAAAAACAAGGTAATTGTAGAGTTCTTATCAGTGTTATAAATCCCTAAGCCTGACATAACTTTCTCTGATAATATTTACATACAGACAGCTCAGGCAAAGCAAGACCAATGTAAAACCATGAAGTAAACCAGGCTTTTATTTAATGGCTCTCTATGGTCTTTTCTCTGGCCCCCCCTTATCATTTTATAATAAAATAATGCTAATACTACCAGTAACATTATCACTTTGCAAAGTATCATCAAATAAAATATTTAATGTAATCCTATGAAGTAGCTATTTTATGCCATTTTACACATGGGTAAATGATAAGAGAGCCCAGACCATGCTATCTTCCACATGTCTTCTGTACTTCCCTCTTCCTTGGGCACCTCCACTGAACAGAATAGTGTTCTGTGTTTATAGATTTTCCTTTGATTTACTCCATGTCCATTCATTCAGAGAAATGTGCTAGGAAATAATAAAATGCAATGAAATGCTGTATCAATGGACGGTGGTATTCTGTATTACCCTTCCCAGAGACTTTTGTGCTTCTAACGATATTGTGAACAGAAGGAGTAAGCAATGTGGGAATTTTGGGGGACCAGTGGAGACAGTATTTGTAAAATAATATGGGCTAATTTTTACAAGACCCCTCAAACTGTAAACTAAGTATAGAACAGGGATTCTGTGAGAGAGGCAGACAGAGGGCTCCTGTATGCCAACTCCTTATCTCCCTCTCCTTTCAGGTCTTGGGATGCTGGCAAGTGTCTATACTGATGACTATGAGAGAGGGCGTGCCATGGGAATTGCCTTGGGGGGTCTGGCTTTGGGAGTGCTGGGTAAGTGGCACCTGGTCTCAAATCTAGGTTCAAAGGGTAAGATACTGCATACTCTTCGAAGATGCTCCATGAGGCAAGTGTTCCTAAGGGTCATGGAAGATAGGATTTTCTTTATTTTTCTGTCCAATCATGTTTTGAGTCCTGAAGTTTTTCCCAGGAAAGGCAAAATCCCCTTCCTGTTAAGAAGCTTAATAGTCCATGACATCCTGGAATTGGAAGAAACCTAGTCTATTCCAGTGAGCAAATATCCCCCATGTTAGCAGCTGCTGCCTCACCAGTGCTTTCCCAAAATGAGAGGAGATCTTTGTTGGATTTTGTGCAAAATACATTGCAGACATAATCTCTTTTAATCCTCACACCATTGTCAAGAGGTAATGATTGTCTCCACTACAGAAATGAGGAATAAAAAAATGTTAAATAGCCATCCAAGTTTACATAGATAGAAAATGCCAGAGCCACGATATAGACTCAAATTCTGGACTCAAACCCCAAACTCTAAACCATAATGTATTTTCTTTGAGGTTCATTCCTCATATAGATTGATTGACTATTCCAAGTCACATATTTTATGGAACACTTACTATATGCCAAGGTCAATGCTAGGACACAGGGAATTTAGGTAAGGAGCCTCAAAAATGGTTCCTTCCCTAGAGGAGATCACAAGCTAGTTGAAGAGAAAACACCAAAGTTCTCTTCCTGGTACATATCCACCCCTCTCCTCCAAAACCATGGGAGAAGAGGGAACAAAAATCCTGCTCTCTGTTAACATCCATTTTCCCAAACATCCAAGCTGAAACTTTGGTACATCCTGGTCTCCTTTATCACTTCTCACTCTCAAATGGATAAGCCCATTAATATTCTCTACAGCCACTTCCTCAAGGTCGGTTCCTCATCACATCCCAGTTGGAACCAGCCTACTACCTGATTTCTTGTACCTTCCCTCCTTCTGCAAAGGTGCCACCAGAAGAAACTTCCTTTGCCCAGAGATGGTGGTATTTCTCCCCTGCTAAAACACGTTTCTTCACTGTCCACAAGACCAAGTAGATGCTTATCTGGATATACAGGGCCCTTGATTATTTGGCCTTGACATTCCCCACCTCTACTTTTCCTCTCCCAAATACTCATATTCTAGTGACTGCACACTGAATATTGATATTCTTCTATTTGTTATCCAACCACACTCTTTTAACTTTTTTTTTAATTTAAATTCAATTTAATTAACATATAGTGTACTATTAGTTTTAGAGGTAGAATTCAGTGATTCATCAGTTGCATGTAGCACCCGGTGCTCATTATGTCAAGTGCCCTCCTTAATACCCTTCACCCACTTACCCCACCTCCCTTCCCACCTCCCCTTCAGCAACCCTCAGTTTGTTCCCTATAGCTAAGAGTCTTTAATGGTTTGCTTCTTTCTATGTTTTCCTCTTAATTTATTTTTCCTTCCCTTCCTCCATGTTTATTTGTTTTGTTTCTTAAATTCCACATATGAGTGAAATCATGTGGTATTTGTTTTTCTTTGGCTGACTTATTTCACTTAGCATAATACCCTCTAGTTCCATCCATGTCATTGCAAATGGTAAGCTTTCATTTTCTAATGACTAATATTCCATCATATATACCACATTTTCTTTATCCATGCATCTTTTGGATATTTGGGCTCTTCCCATATTTTGGCTTTTGTGGACATTGCTGCTGTAAACATTGAGGTGCATGTGCTCCTTTGAATCACTATGTTTGTATCCTTGGATACATACCTAGTAGTACAATTGCTGGGTTGTAGGGTAGCTGTGTTTTTAGCTTTTTGAGGAACCTCTATACTGCAACCACACTCTCTTTTATGATGCCTCAATGCTCTTCACTTATGCTTCTTCCCCACCTATATTACCCACTTGACAAAGCCCTGTGTTCACCTGAACTCAATGAATCGTGTTTGCACAGCACCTTGTAGATTGAACCTTTACTGTTGAACTCTACCCTTCACCATGTTCTAATTATTTGGGTTCCCCTTCCCCACCCCCACCACATGCATTTTCTCTAGTAGAAAGTGAGCTCCTGAGAGCCAGGTCTTCTTCATTTCTGAGTCCCCAGAACCTTACATGGAGGTTCATTGAGTAAATGTGGACAAGTCACACCAACTAGGAATTTGTCCTTATTTCTAAAATCTGTGCCTGCTTTGCCTTTCCAGTGGGAGCTCCTTTTGGAAGTGTGATGTATTCGTTTGTTGGGCAGTCTTCACCTTTCCTCATATTGGCCTTCCTGGCACTACTGGATGGAGGTAAGTCACCATAAGCAGTCACCAGAGAGATGATAGCTTAAGTCAGATTGGGAATGCACTATGCTGTAGTGTCAGTTTCGACGTGCTTTAAAGATCAAGGACTGCCCTATTTTAGGAAACAAGGAAGAAACTCAGGGAGTTAGATATGTACATGATAGAGTGATATCAATGTGGCTGTTATTAAAGCCTTCAACTAATCAGTGGACAAAATAAACTGTTTCTTTCTCTCCCACTTTCTTTCTTAGCACTCCAGCTGTGTATCCTACAGCCTTCCAAATTCTCTCCTGAGGTAAGTTGACACTAAGCTCCATTGCCAAAGGATATAGAGAATGAATATTTACAAAGACCCTCCCCCCCAGATCATCCGTGTCAAAACAAAAGAAGAAAGATGAAGAGGAGTGGAGTCAAAGAAATTGAGAACTATACTTGGGTAGTGTCATATTTAGGGTAGCATTGGAGATGGTGGCGGGGGCAGTCTGGTCTGATATTGGACAAAGATGGAGGAAAGGACTTATGAGGGATCAAGGAAATATTACAAAATTTATATATATATAAACTCAGAACCAAAAGACAATGACATTGGGACTTGTATGTTCATAGTTACAATACCTCAGAGCTAGAAAAGTTCTTAGAGACTGTTTAGATAATCTCTCCCCAAATAGCATCTTTATAGACTATCATTATATCATGGTTAAATATCAGAGTTGGTATTTGTCTGACTCCAAGCCACAGATGTCTCTGGGAAATCCATATCAAACCACAAAGAATGAAAGATAAGGAAGTACAGAAAGTATGGGGAAGTCTGAACTAAAAACCTTGATTTTATAGCCAAGACAGACAAAAGTGTGAGTAACCTCGGGACCCATTATTTTCAATTGGGATCTGAGAGGGTCAGTCTTGTGGGACTGAGCCCTTTACCTGTGGTGTCTGTGCTAACCCTAAGAAGTCAATGCAGAACTGAATTATGTTATAAGACACCCAGCTGGTACCCTTAGAGAACTGAAGAATTGTTTGGTGGGAAAGCCCTCACATATGGTACCAAAAGTGTTGTAAGAGGAGAAATTATTTTCCTTTAATATCTTTTTGCATGGTTTTGACTTAGATGATAATATTCTACATATTCAAAAATTCAATTATTATTTTTTTGCCTGTAGGAAATACCACTGTATGCATGCCATATTTTATTTAATCCCCTATGTTTGAACATTTAGGTAATTGCCAGTATTTTATAATGAATGTTACAATTAATAACCTTATGCATATGCATTTTTATAAAATTGGAAGTAATCTATAGAATAAATTCCTATAAGTGGAATTGTTAGGCTAAAGGCCTTATTGGACTTCTTTATGTGTATTTTGTGATTTAGATCTATCTCTTTATTTTGAATTATATATTTAGTTTTAGTATCTCTGAATATTTTATTGTACTCCTGTTAAGTATGCAGTGAGGGTTATTATATCAAAACCATTAAATTATTATCAAATAGAATGTAGTTAGCACCACAGATTAGGGCACAGTGCTCAGGAAGTTTGTTAGAGGGAGAAGTTTCAGCTACTGAGTCAGGAAATACAGTGGAAAAGAAGGAACCTTTGAGAATGGGTAGGAGCTGGACCTGAAGAGAGAAAGAAGGTAATTTAGGCAAAAACAAAAACAAAACAAAAAACAAAACAAAACAAAATCATGAACATAGTTTAGGAAAAATAACTTGCTGGAATGCATGGGAGGAAAGTGGAGTGATTTGAGTTTAATTGGAATAAAGATTTTCTGAGGGAAAGGGGAAATTAGAACTGAGCATTTAGGCTTGCATTTTAATCTGTATTTTCAAACACCTTCAGCTTGACTTGCCAATGTGGCTCAAAATGGTCAGGATGAAGCCTCCAGAATGCTTGAAGATCTTTCTAAGTTATCACCTCTGGGCTCACCTTTGGGATTCAGTACTCTGCCTGTGGGCAAACATTAACACCAGCAAGATCTCGTGGTGAGGCCCAAGACCAGGAGTCCAGGCACCCATTGCCCATTGCTGGCCTTGCTGACAATCCATTTTCATCTAGTTGACGATCATTTGAAAGCAAGAATTGTGTCTGGGATATGTTGTCTTACTCTTTGTGACTACCACTGTGTTTGCCTTGCACACAGGAGGTATACTGCCAGCTGACTCTGTGACATTGGGGAATTCACTTTATCTCCTTTGATTTGGGTGTTTGGTCTCTTCATTAAAGGAGCTGACATAGATGATTTCTAAGGTCGTGTCTGCATATTCTCAGATTCTATGACAATAGGAGAGATGTACACTGTAAAAATGGAAGTTTTTTGTTGTCCATGTTCTCAGAGTGCCAGGGGGACTCCTCTCCTTACACTTCTCAAAGACCCTTATATCCTGGTGGCTGCAGGTAAGCTGAAAATGCCTCTCTTTGCAATGGGAGGGTCTGGGCTTCTGCGTAGCCCTGGTGTTCACAGAACTGTCTCTCCAGGCTCCCTCTGCTTTGCTAACATGGGAGTGGCTATGCTGGAGCCCACACTGCCCATCTGGATGATGCAGACCATGTGCTCACCTGAATGGCAGTTAGGTAAGTGACCTTGTTCCTCAACTTGGGCTTAGGCAGAGGTAGGTGTGTGCCATGCGCCTTTTTTCAGGTAATTGAGATGCACTATCAGGCCCAGGTCTTCAGAGTCATAGAGGCACAATGTTCTTCCTTTGCAGAGTTATCTTTTCTGTCCATACCTGTAAATCAAATCTGAGTGGGCAGGCAGCACCTCCAAGAAGCAGCCCAAGAAAGGCAAGGTGGGAGGGGTTGAGAGGGGCTATTGAGTGACAATATACCTAGCTATGTGGTAGAATGATCAATGATTTTTACGGTATTCATTGTTTTTGCACCACACCCAGTGCCCCATGCAATCTGTGCCCTCTCCAATACCCACCACCTGGTTCCCCCAACCTCTCACCCCCCGCCCCTTCAAAACCCTCAGATTGTTTTTCAGAGTCCATAGTCTCTCATGGTTCACCTCCCCTTCCAATTTCTCTCAACTCCCTTCTCTTTAACTCCCCTTGTCCTCCATGCTATTTGTTATGCTCCACAAATCAGTGAAACCATATGATAATTGACTCTCTCTGCTTGACTTATTTCACTCAGCATCATCTCTTCCAGTCCCGTCCATGTTGCTACAAAAGTTGGGTATTCATCCTTTCTGATGGAGGCATAATACTCCATAGTGTATGTGGACCACATCTTCCTTATGCATTCGTCCGTTGAAGGGCATCTTGGTTCTTTCCACAGTTTGGCGACCATGGCCATTGCTGCTATAAACATTGGGGTACAGATGGCCCTTCTTTTCACTACATCTGTATCTTTGGGGTAAATACCCAGTAGTGCAATTGCAGGGTCATAGGGAAGCTCTATTTTTAATTTCTTGAGGAATCTCCACACTGTTTTCCAAAGTGGCTGAACAAACTTGCATTCCCACCAACAGTGTAAGAGGGTTCCCCTTTCTCCACATCCTCTCCAACACATGTTGTTTCCTGTCTTGCTAATTTTGGCCATTCTAATTGGTGTAAGGTGGTATCTCAATGTGGGTTTAATTTGAATCTCCCTGATGGCTAGTGATGATGAACATTTTTTCATGTGTCTGATAGCCATTTGTATGTCTTCATTGGAGAAGTGTCTGTTCATATCTTCTGCCCATTTTTTTATATGATTGGAATGATCAATGATTTTTAGTCAAAAATCCACGTTTTCATTTCAGTTCCATTGATTGGCTATGTAAACTTGTGTAAACCACATCAATTTTCTGGGCACCAACTCTCTCATCTCCGAAATGGGCATTGGAATACTGTCTAGTTCAAAGGGTCATTTGAGAAATAAATGGCATAATATGTGGAAATGCTCTGCACCTGCAGAATATTAATACGTACCATTACCATCCACACTTTTCTCTCTTCAACTCCCCTTCCCCTATATTAGCTTTTGCTCTCCTTTTACCTCTAACAAGGTGTTTATGGAGGCTTCCAGCTGGAAGATCTACCTCTTCTTCATGGAGAGATGTCCCTGTGATTCATCTGAGTTTAGAGAGGAGGTTCTGGCCCTTCCCAGGAAGCCCGAGGACAGGGAATAAAGAAGGCTGTTGCGCCATTCAGTCCCTGTGGGGAAGAGTCTTATGGGGCCAGAGGGGAAGTTGATAAAGACCTGATATAGCTCAGCATGCAACAAAAAGCACTAAATCTAATTTTTGTAGGGGACTATTCTAAGCAGGGCTCCAAGCTGCACTCTTAGCTTCAAATTGGATTTTTCTGGGCTGCTAATGCCTCGGACCATGACAATTAATTGAGTTAGTTGGTGCTCTGCCCCAAGGCTATGACAGCTCAGGCTCTGGGTGCAGGTGGGCAAACACAGCTCAGAGCAGCTTCCTCCCAGCTCTTCTTCACCACATAGGAGAGAATATTAAAAGCAAACCAGCCTTCAGTAACTGGTGAATTGTTGACTTTGAGTTTAATTATAATTATCATGACAATTCTTAGAAGGCAACACTGTTTCCTCTACACAAAGAAAGGCATTGAGAGGCTAGTAAAACCCAGTGAAATGCACTAGGCTGATTCTATACAGCCCCTTATGCAGGCGAGGCTGCAGTTGAAAGCTCTCAGGAGAGAAAGAATACTGAGAGAGCTTTGTCTCCCACACTCCTTTACAACTTTCCTCAATGCTATCTGCATCTCTAAGTCTAGCTTCAAAAGCTCTCACAACACCTGGAGAGCTTGTTAAAATTCTGAGTTTTGGGCCCCACCCAGAAATTCAATAGAATCAAATTTACATTTTCTTAAGTTTCCTGGTGATGCTGATACAGTATCAGGGATCACACTGAAAAATATTGCACTAAACACAGACAACCTGTCAAAGTTGTTTGGAGGAGACAGCACTTTTGAGAGTGATTGGTAGTCTGTGACTGAGTACTCCCTAAGTGACCCATTTTGTGCCCAGTACTCTCCCTGTGGGGAGGAAACAGGCTGACCTGGGTTTGACTCCTGACCACTTACTAGTTGTGACCTTGGATGAGTTATTTAACCTCTTCAAACACCACCTTTTTTCATTTGAGGAAATGGAGACGCTTTCAGAGTTGTTTTCAGGATTAAATACATCTATGTATTCTAAAGGGATTAACACAAGGGCACCTGGTGGCTCAGTTAGTTGAGTGTCCAACTCTTGATTTCAGCTCAGGCCATGATGTCAGGGTCTTGAAATTAAGCCCTGTGTGGGGCTCTGTGCTCAGCATGGAGTCTCTTTGCCACTCTCCCTCTTCTCCTCCCCCTACCTCTCTCTCCTTCTCTCACAAATAAATAAATAAAATCTTTAAAAATAAATAGGCAAAGGGATTAGCACAATTGGTTGGAATACAGGATAGATATACTATGTAAATAAAAATAACTATTTTCACCATTGTTTTTGTTGAAATTATTTTGACAGTCACAGCTATGTGTAATTCCTTGCTCCTTGGAAGATATGCTGTGAAAAAATATATGTTTGTCTATAAACATATATTTTGGAATATATTTTGCAAAAAATGCTACTGAAAATGCAAGCTATACCCAGTCTTAAAGAGCAAGTCACATTGGTTGAGGAAATTTCATTTAGGAAATTCCACATCATTTAAAACAACAGCAAGAAGATATATCTAGGAGGATATTAAGCTTCCTAGAGGTGCCTATCTCCAGATCTCCAGTAAACAGTGGAATAGTTATGGTTCTAAATTTTTAAAAGCAATTAAACATAAACAAATGGGTACAGTTGGAAACATTGCAGCCCTGTGCAAATAGACAAATACAGTAAGATATGCTTCACTTCCACCCCGTGAAAGAGAATATTAAAATCAAACAAGCTATCAACCAGTAATTGGTGAATTGTTGACTTTAGGTTTGATTGTAATTATCATGACAGTTTCTATTAGGCACTGTTGTTTCCTGTAGGTACAGAAAGGCATAGAGAGGCTGGTGAGACCTGAAAAAACTCTCACTGCTCATTTTGTGCAGTACCTTATGCCAGAGACATCTGTGCTGTCATGCTCTGGTGTGGATAGTGCAAACATATGAAGTTGGAAGGTGAAGGCCTGGGCTCAAGTCATGACCCTGTTACTAACCAGTTAGGACAATAACAGTTAAGGCTGATGTGCAGAGGGCACTTATTCTGTGCCAGACACTGTGCAAAATGGTTGGCACACAGTATCTGATTCAAGGCTCACAAGCAGCCTATCTGGTAGGAATTATTATTATCCCCATATTTCATAAATTTCTTAATCTGATCCAATTTCCTATCTCCCCCTCCAAAAATTCCTAGAGCTTGTAGAACCTCCTGTCATTGACAAGGGTCCCGTGTCTTCAAACTCTTCTCTAAACATTTCCATCATCTTCTTGCCCTGAGAGCTGAATGTTTCCTGAGAGCACTGTTTCTCAGCTGTCTTGATGGAAATGCATGGTCCTCTAGACTTCACTCACCTTTGTTACTTCTGAATCATTTCTTCTTCTTCTTCCTTTTTAAGATTTTATTTGTTTATTTGAGAGAGAGAGAGAGAGAGAGAGAGCATGAACAGGAGGAGGGGCAGAGGGAGAGGGAGAAGCAGACTCCCCTCTGAGCAAGGGACCCTGACTAGGGTCTCGATCCAAGGATACTGGGATCATGACTTAAGCCAAAGACAGACACTTAACTGACAGCCACTCAGGCACCCCAGAATTATTCCTTCTTTATTCTCCTTCAAAGACTCCAACTTCCTTGAAGGTCATGTCATTATATTATACCCCCCTCCACCTCTCTTCACTGCAATCACCTATTGACCCCTTAGGTATCCCTTTTCATTTGTTAAAATTGTCAACACCTGGCTCATATTCTTTTCTCCTTTATTCCTTCCATCATTCTTTTTTTTTTTTTAAAGATTTCATTTGTTTATTTGACAGAAAGAAACACAGTGAGAGAGGGAAAATAAGTAGGGGTGTGGGAGAGGGAGAAGCAGGCTTCCCACTGAGCAAGGACCCCCCGATGAGGGGCTTGATCTCAGGACCCTAAGGGAGATGCTTAACGACTGAGCCACCCAGGCTCCCACCTTTCACAATTCTTTTTTTTTTTTTTTAAGATTTTATTTATTTATTTGACAGACAGAGATCACAAGTAGGCAGAGAGGCAGGCAGAGAGAGAGGGAGGAAGCAGGCTCCCTGCTGAGCGGAGAGCCCAATGCGGGGCTCGATCCCAGGACCCTGGGATCATGACCCGAGCTAAAGGCATAGGCTTAACCCACTGAGCCACCCGGGCGCCCCACCTTTCACAATTCTTGATGGCTTCAATATCCAGGTGGATAATTCTACCAACATCTTGGCCTATTCTTTAATCTACTTTCTTGCAATAATCTTTTGCAGTGATCTTTTTCTCCTTTCCACCTTAACCAATCAAACCTTTTTGACCTTGACATTGATTTTATTATCTCTGAAATTTAATTTCAGATAATTCAGTCCAATTATCAATTCACATATTCCCTACTCAGGTATTCTAATATCCCATCTCAACAAATTTTGGCCACATGGAGATCACCAATCCATTGGCCTCAAGTCATTTTCTATTTTCTATCACTTCTCATGTCCTCACTTTTTTATTTATTCAGCTTGAATTCCATCATGATGTTACTCCTTTGAAAGTATTAATTCCTTTGCCCTGCTTTCCCTCTGGGGTTGTCAGCTGACACAGCATTGATTCTGGTTAAGCCAATCTGTTTGCCTACTCCTTGTCTATGCATGAGTGGCACATTGGGGCTGTGGGAAAATGCACAGCAAGGCTGTTGGTCTCACCTTACATTTATGGCTAAAGAAATAAAGTAGGTTTTCACATTGCCCAACAATCTTTCTCTAGGTCCCCAGTTATGTCCTCCTTCCCACTTTCTGAAATGACTGTTTTATACTTATCCATTCAAACCTCTTCCACATCCTCATCCTTTCATCATTCTTAGCTCCTAGTCATTGAGAAATCAGAAGCAATGAGATGGGAACTCACATGTTCCCATCACTAAGTATACTAATTTTCCTGCATTTGTATGCATATTCACTGCCTTCTTTTTGTGGTCGAAGCATCCTAACTCCTTCAGAGGCCAAACTACTACTACTACCACCACCACCGTTACTTCTCCTCCTTTTCTTCTCCCTCCTCCTCTTCCTCCTCCTCCTCCACCACTTATTCCTCTTGTTGTTGTTGTTGTTGCCTTCCTCCTCCCCCTCCCTCTCCCTCTTCTTCTCTGACTTCTTCTACTTCATCTTCATCTTCTTCTCCTCCTCCTCCTTCTGTTCTTCTTCCTCCTCCTTCTTCATTCCATCCCCTCTAAACTATTTCATTGGCTTCTTCTTATCACCCTTGTTATCTCCTCTTCCCTGCTAACTTTTTTTTTATTTGATTTCTTTTCAGTGTAACAGAATTCATTGTTTATGCACCACACCCAGGGCTCCATGCAATACTGCCCTCCATAATACCCACCACCAGGCTCCCCCACCCTCCCATCCCCCGCCCCTTCAAAACACTCAGATTGTTTTTCAGAGTCCATAGTCTCTCATGGTTCATCTCCCCCTCCAATTTCCCCCAACTCCTTTCTCCTCTCCATCTCCCCATGTCCTCCATGTTATTTCTTATGCTCCACAAATAAGTGAAACTATATGATGATTGACTCTCTCTGCTTGACTTATTCCATAAGTCATAATAATAATAATAATAATAATCTCTTCCAGTCCCATCCATGTTGCTACAAAAGTTGGGTATTCATCCTTTCTGATGGAGGCATAATACTCCATAGTGTATATGGACCACATCTTCTTTATCCATTTGTCCATTGAAGGGCATCTTGGTTCTTCCCACAGTTTGGTGACTGTGGCTTTTGCTGCTATGAACATTGGGGTACAGATGGCCCTTCTTTTCACTACATCTGTATCTTTGGGGTAAATACCCAGTAGTGCGATTCCCTACTAACTTTTAAATGTAGGAGTCCCTGAAAGCTCAGACCTTGGATCTCTATTCTTCTCTATCTAATGTTTCAGAGGTTATCCCAGTCTTTCCTATGGTCTTAAGAACCATGTGTAAATGATCATTTTGAACTTGAATAAGTGAATAAATGAATATTTATATCTATGCTTAGGCTCTGTCCTTGGAAATCTAATCTTGTACACCAATGCCTTGCATCTCCAGCCGTATATCTAATATGCATTCAAACCTTGTTTCCCCAGGCTCTTCCTCCATCTCCAGTTACCCAACTAAGTAAGACAAAATGAATGATTTTTGATTTCTCTCTTTCTCTCACTCCAACTATGGCCACACCCAACTCAACAGAAAGTTCCACTGACTCTACCACCATAATAATATTTTGGTCACTTCTTTCCATCATGATATCCAAGCTTAAACATTGTCACTTTCTTCCTGGGTTCTGCAAATAGTTTTCTGGCTTTTACTCTTGTCCTATGAACCCATTCTTCTAACCACAACCAAAAGACTTGAAAAAATGTAAATTAAAATATGTCATTCCCCTCCAAAGTTTCCCATTGCGCTTGGAATAAATTCCAAATTCTAGGCCTACATTTTCTATTACTCTTCCCTTTGCTCATTGTGCTTCAGCCACATAGACCTCCTTTCTATTCCTAAAAGAGACAAATAGTTTCTTTAACATCTTTGTATTTGCATGAGATGTTTTTATTTGCTTACTTGTTTGTTCTGCTTGAAATACTCTGTTTAGGTCATTCTGATCTCAGTTTAAATGTCATCTCCTCAAAAAGGTCTTACCAGCCCCCAAACTGAAGTTAGCTCTATTCTTGGTCACACTTCCATGCCATATTAAATGTTTTTCATACAACTTACTATTTTTCAAAATTATCTTTTCTTTCATTTGTTTACTTGTTTATTGTCTGGCTCCCTCCCTTGAAATGTAAATGCCCTAAAAGCTAAGATTTTTTTCTAGCTTATTTACACCATCTTATTTATCCCATCATGTTCTAATCTTAGAACACCAGACACATAGTAAAAGCTCATTAAAAGTACTGAATGAATGAACAAATGGATGAATGAATAAGACTCAGAACTGTATGACTTCAAAGACCATGCTCTAGAGCACATGACTCTACCATCGGAGAAATAAATGTGACCAGTGCTTCAGTTTACAAAATACTTTTAAATATGCTATCCAATTTGCTCCTCAGTATAAATTGGTATGATAGAATCATAGCTTTGTTTTTGCCAGATGTGGATGGTAAAGCTCTGAAATCCTTAGTAACTTTTCCAAGATCACCACTAGAGCAATGGAAAGAAAGGTGAATAGGAAGGCAGGAATTTCACTTCCCAGGTAATATGTATTTCTTTTTCTAAGACTGATGATATTCTTATGTTGATAATCAGAAGGATTTTTACATATGAATTTCTCATTAGGGCTATTCTTTAGGAAATCTATGTGGGGGAGCTGGAAGGACATTGTATTAAAGCTAAACAAAGCCTGGCTCCTGAGGAAAGTGGAAGTGTAGAGCCTCATGTCAACTGTTCTGGGTTGGCACAGGGATCTCCAACACACAAAACAAAGTGGTTTGGAATCCTTGAAGGTAACAGAGAAACTTCACTATCTTGTCATAAATATAGTATTTTGTAGTAAATTGGGCATATCCTCATCTTAGAATTGTGTCTTTCTACAGGTCTTGCTTTCTTGCCTGCCAGTGTGTCCTACCTCATTGGCACCAACCTCTTTGGTGTGTTGGCCAACAAGATGGGTCGGTATGTAGCCTGGAAATATGTGGAGAATATAATAGGAATGTAAGATGGGAGAGATTATTGAGGTTGTCCCCGCACCTAGGATAATGAACAGCTTCTCTAAGGTTGGAAGTTTAGGACAAGCATGCATGGATAAAAGCCGCCTACAGAGAGGATAGGAGTAGATAGGTGGTGAAGAGGATATGGATAAAGGATGGCCCTGAGTTGGTTGTGAATATATGATGGATAACCTTTACTTACCAGATGTTTGTTGTCTAGTTGAAGAGCTAAAATAACCCCACAGAGAACAGCTACGAAAAAGCTCATTATTTTGGGGGCAGTGTTGTGAAACTGTGTTCCCTGGAGCCCTAGAGAGTTCTAAAGAGGTACCTCAGAGACTACCAAATGGAAAGGGTTTGAGGCTAAAAAGTAAGTCTGGATTTTGTTCTACCACAGTGAGAACAGCTTCAATTTTATCTTTGAAGCTCAGAATACAGATTTTAAGACAAGCTTAAAAACCCCTGCTATAGGAAATCAGAAAAGGAAAGAAATTTGGTATTTTTTGTGCATTTTGTGATGGGCTTTGAAGACCAGATAAAATACGAGTAAGTGAGAGGTAGTCTGAATTGGGAAAGAGCATGAATTAAGTTTGAGGGTTACTTTCAAGGGGCAGGTATCTTCTGAGTAAACTGATTCCTCTGCTAGTGGAAGAAAGAATATGTCCTATTGAACCTCCTCTGCTTCTACTATGGAAAAAGATATGGAACCAGGCAAGGGGGAGGTCAGGGAAAGGGTTCACCTGGTTACAAATGGATCATGTAGAGATGTCTTCATTTTATCACATCCTAAGGGGTTGATGGAATTAGGAGTGTAGGACTGGCTGGTGTAGTGGAGATAAGATGATAGGTGGAAGGGATTTCTCCCTTTAGCATAGTTTGTGATGGCTCTTTTCTTCCAGGTGGCTGTGCTCCCTGATTGGGATGATTGTAGTAGGCACCAGCTTGCTTTGTGTAAGTACGATGAAGTCTAGGAGAGAGAGAGAGAGACCCCTAGACATTTAAAGACAATTTTCCTTTGAAATGAACAGAGGGTTAACTTGTCAATGACTGTTGGAAAGACTGTTTCTACATGGGTAAGAATTTAGCTCTGGGAGAAATGCCACCAGGCATCCCATTAAAGGAGGTGGAGAAGGAGGGGAAAAGGGTAGTGGAGCAGCTGTAGCCGGAGGTCTGAGTCCCTATGTGTGGACACATGAAAAAATTCATGTTGATACCTATTTCTGGAGCCATTAAAGTGGTTCATTTTATGATTTAATTTACTTATCTCAACCTAACAAGACCTCATAAGCCACCAGGGGAATCATCACATGAGTTGCAGTCTCTAGTGCCAGAATGTTAGGTAGAAAAAGAAAAAAAAAGAAGAACTTTCCTATTTTCAAAAGCCCCTTCAAGCTCTCTAAGCCTTCATTTTCTCCTCCTCATAATGGGGATCATACATACACTTGCCTCCTAGAGCTGTAAAGCACTGAGTACCGTGATCAAGAAAGCCTGGAGGTCTTGATCAGGAGCATATGTTCCACATCATTCCCAGCTTTGCTACTTCCTGCTTGTGTGATTTTGAGCTAGATATGTCACCTCTTTTTGTTTAGTATCCTCATCAGTGTAGAAAGGGATCTGTTAGCCTCTCTTAGGACTGTCCATATAAACTACACCACAGTGGGCCCACAGTAAATCTTAATGCAAGCTATTGATAAACTATAATTACCTTTTGAGGAATAATCCCTAAAGTTGTTATTAGCCACTAACGTCTAGATGGTATGTTAAAACTCTGAGAGGTAAATATGTTGGGGTAGCAGGTTCAGGTGACAAGTGTTCAGTGAGGGACCTAAGGAAGCAGTGAAAGAGGAAAGGAAGTCTTTCAGTGGAGGATTGGGAAGGCAAAAGAATGAGTTTCATAAGCTTACTGACGCAACACCCCAAAACATGCCATCCGCCCCTCTAGACTATGGATAACTAGTTGCTTGTATGTTTCCTTTCTCTTCTTGCCCCAGTAGCTACCAAATTAGGATTTAATTAATACCTTTGAATGTTGCTAATAGAAAAGAGAGGAAACTCCATTCAGTGAAGAGTGAGGACAGAAGTGTATGTCTGGGAGGGTGTTGAAAGCAAGCTGAGGAAGAATTCTTGCAATAGAAGAGGTCCATTATTATGTAAAATGGAGTCAAATCTGAGATTTAGACTTAATCTTGCCACTTTTTAGCTTTTTACCTTTGGATAGGGCATTTAATCCAAATGATACCAATCTAACTTTCATATCTTTAAAATAAAGGTAAAGATTCTTCTTCATAAAGAGAAGTGATAATCCCGATAACTAACATATGTGGTACATAGCATATGGCTAATAAATGCATATCATGTGAAAACCCTTTGTTTTGTGGTGACTGATTGGACTCCTGATAAATCCTTCCTCTTTCCCTGCTGCAGGTTCCTCTGGCTCACAATATTTTTGGTCTCATTGGCCCCAATGCAGGGCTTGGCTTTTCCATAGGTAAGAGTACTTTCAAAGGAGCCAAAGTCCCCTGAATTTTGGCTTTGGGCCAGATCAGAGGAGGTATATGGAAAGGGAGAAGGAGCAGGAGGGTGGCTAGCAAAGCTGTGGGCTCCTAACTCCTACCAGGGATAGGTGTTAGTGCTGAGAGGGAGGATAGCAGGCAAATGGAATAGACTAAAGGGAGGAGAAGAAAGAATGGTGCCACAAAAAAGGGAGGGGACTGTGGGTAGAGCTGACAGTGTCCTGTTTCCTTTGGCCACAGGCATGGTTGATTCCTCTATGATGCCCATCATGGGACACTTGGTGGACCTGCGTCATACCTCGGTGTATGGGAGTGTCTATGCCATAGCTGATGTGGCTTTCTGTATGGGCTTTGCCATAGGTATGTTGGCAGGGGAGAGGGGAGCACACAGGACTTGGTGTCCCATTTTTTCTTATCTACTGTTTACCAGCTGAGAGTAAAGCCAGAGGGTTCTGGAGATATTTGACTTTGGGACATCCTCTGGGTCACCCATTGCTCCTTGCATAGTGTTTTCTGTGTGATCAAGGGCCAATAAACACTTGCGAATTTGGTTTATTCCTCACAGGCCCATCCACTGGGGGTGCCATTGTGCATGCCATTGGCTTCCCCTGGCTTATGGTCATTATTGGGGTCATCAACATCATCTATGCTCCTCTCTGCTACTACCTGAGAAGCCCCCCAGCCAAGGAGGAAAATCTTGTAAGAGACTGTGACTATTGCTAAAAGAATAATAATTTTTTAAAAAATTTTTATCATGTTATGTTACTCACCATAAAATACATCATTAGCTTTTGATGCAGTGTTCCAAAATTCATTGTTTATATAGTCTGTGGACTCTGAGAAATGAATAATAATCTTCTGTTTGTTTTTGATCTCCCTTTCTCTCATTGTTTTTCATCGTATGCTGTTTCCTCCATCTTTGGAAGTCTTTTTTGCTTTGTCATATTTTCTGATCCCATTTTCACCTTTATTTTTCCTTTGTGCTCTTTCTTATTTTCCCTTGTTTACTAACCACTTCCCCTCTTATACTGGGTGGTTAAGAAGGGCCCTAAGTAAAGAACAAAACTGAGAAGGTTATAAAGAGTTTGGGCCAGGGTTCATCAAAGGCATCCCATACTTCAGTTACCAGCAAAATGTGAGTTAACACATTATCTCCTCAAGGTGGTCAAAATTCCAATGGGATCATTCATTCATGTCTGCCATTGTTCTTACCAGGTAATGATTTAAAGTACAAAACCACAGGGAAGAGAGCTATAACTTTTGATTTTAGTTAATAAGGTACTTTATTTTATTGCAGCATGAGGACCCTAACGGTTTAGGTGGCTCAATGATGGATGTAGGGGCTGGTCACAGGGATGAAAGAAGACAGGGAGGCCAGATAGGGGATAGTACTGGTTTCAGCTGGCTCCCTACTGTAGCTTGTACTAGCACTATTAGGATTCAATCAAAAACACGACAGATATTTGTCTTGACCAGGGTGGCTATACTGAGGTGCCTTGGCTGGTCTTGTGCTTGTAAATGAAGCAGAAGAAGAGTACTAGGCTTGTTTCTTGAATATTTCCTGAGCAACACTAGACTTGGATGAGCTAGTGAGGGAAGGGAACAGGGAGACTGATAAAAGATGTGCAATAATTTCTCCTCCTGTGTCTTGCTACAGGCAATTCTGAGCCAGGACTATGCCATGGAGACTTGGATATGTGCAACTCAGAAGCCCACAAGGGAATTTCCTCTGGGGGAGGACAGCGATGAGGAGGCTGGCAGTGAAGAGTAGTAGGAGAAGATGGTCTCTGAACCTTGTCACATGCGGATACATCAGCCTTGGACTTCAGTGACCAAAGTGACCACCTCCTTTTCTGATCACCAGATCACCATGGGCTGCTCAATAGACTGCATTTCTCTTTCCCCTTGGTATCTCCTTTCCTCCCCTCCCATGGGTGCAATTTCTTGATTCTCTCCTTACCTGTGTAACCCATAGTTCTTCCTCTGAGCCTTGTGGCTTCAGGTGCCCAATTTTTCTGGGAGAACATAGTGATGCTTTTTCCTAGGCTATTGTGAGGCTGATTAAACTTGAGCTGGTGCATTCTGCAAGGAGTGACTTATTCCACGGGAACAGCAATGACCACAGCATGCCCTTGAAACCAGTAGGGTGACTGATAAACCTCATTTCATCTGTTATCTGATTTTCTTTGACATTCCCAGCAAACCATAAAACTTTTGTCCTCTGTTCCTCCATGTGGCCCTTCCTGAGTTTTCTCCATTAAGTTGGGAATGTGTCCTCAATGTTATACTGCTGCCAGATTGCCAATTTAAATTGTTTGCCTGGTTTTTAGAAGCTGAGTGGTTCTTCTGTGGCTAAACCTATAGCTGTTAAAGTGATTTTGTCCTCAGCGAATTGAAAGCTGAGTTTACACCTTTCCTAAATCTCTTTGACTGTTAGAAATAACAACAGGAGGACAGAAAAAAAAAATATCTCCAAGGTTTTATTGGAGGAAGTAAAAAGAAACTGCCCTGAAATCTCTTCCCACAGTGGATTTCCTAATACAAGGATTATAATGAGGAATTATTCTCACTTCTTTTTTTTCTTAACATCTTAATTTAATTTTATTTTTTTCAATGTTCCAAGATCCATTGTTTATGCACTACACCCAGTGCTCCATGCAATATGTGCCCTCTTTAATACCCGCCACAAGTTTCACCCATCCTCCCACCCCGTCCCTTCCAAAACCCTCAGTTTCTTTTTCAGAGTCTACAGTCTCTCATGGTTCATCTCCCTCCCCAATTTATCCCAATTCATTTTTCTTTCTGTCTCCTAATATCCTCCATGTTATTCTTTATGCTCCACAAGTAATTGAAACCATATAATAAGTGACTCTCTCTGCTTGATTTATTTCACTTAGCATAATCTCCTCCAGTCCGGTCCATGTTGATACAAAAGTTGGGAATTCATCTTTTCTGATGGCTGTGTAATATTACATTGTATATATGGACCACATATTCTTTATTCATTCATCTGCTGAAGGACATCTCAGCTCTTTCCACAGTTTGGTGATTGTGGCCATTGCTGATATGAACATTGGGGTACAGGCCCTTCTTTTCACTACATCTGTATCTTTGGGGTAAATACCCAGGAGTGCAATTTCAGGGTCGTAGGGAAGCTCTATTTTTACTTTTTTGAGGAACCACCACACTGTTTTCCAAAGTGGTGCAACAACTTGCATTCCCACCAACAGTGTAAGAGAGTTGCCCTTTCTCCACATCCTCTCCAACACATGTTGTTTACTGTCCTGTTGATTTTGGTCATTCTAACTGTTGTAAGGTGGTATCTCAATGTAGTTTTGACTTTAATTTCCCTGATGGCTAGTGATGATGAACATTTTTTCATGTGTCAGTTAGCCATTTGTATGTCTTTTTTGGAGAGGTGTCTGTTCATGTCTTCTGCCCATTTTTTGACATGATTACCTGTTTTTTGGGTGTTGAGTTTGAGGTGTTCTTTATAGATCTTGGATATCAGCCCTTTGTCTGTAGTGTCAATCACTTCTTATTTATTTATTTATTTATTTATTTACATTTCTTTTCAGTGTTCCAGAATTCATTGTTTATGCACCACACCCAGTACTCCATGCACTACATGCCCTGCATAATACCCACCACCAGGCTGACCCAACTTCCCATCCCCACCCCTTCAAAACCCTCACATTGTTTTTCAGTTGTTAATCCCCCTTTATCTTAGGAAAGTTGAGTTCTTTAACAAAGATATCAAGATACAACCAGGAAGAATCAAAAAACCTTCCTCGCCCACATGGAGAATTTATAACCACTCTCCCATCTTTTTCTTCTGTCAGTGTCTCTGTGTCTTTGTTTTTGTCTTGGTAGTATATAAATCTTATACTTGGGGTTCTTTTTTTAAAAATTTTTTAAATTTATTTTCAGTGTAACAGTATTCATTGTTTTTGCACCACACCCAGTGCTCCATGCAATCCATGCCCTCTCCAATACCCACCACCTGGTTCCCCCAACTTCCCACCCCCCACCTCTTCAAAACCATCAGATTGCTTTTCAAAGTCCATAGTCTCTCATGGTTCATCTCCCTTTCCAATTTCCCTCAACTCCCTTCTTCTCTCTAACTCCCCTTGTCCTCTATGCTATTTGTTATGCTCCACAAATAAGTGAAACCATATGATAATTGACTCTCTCTGCTTGACTTATTTCACTCAGCATAATCTCTTCCAGTACTTGGGGTTCTTTTTGATGAGGTTCTTATTATTTATTTATTTATTTATTTATGTCTTGTCATCTACTTTTGTTGGTCTTTCTGTTTGTCTGCTTTTGTTTGTATACTTCATGAATCTTGGGGCCCATTTGGGCCAGGCCTTCTCTTTTATCTTTTTTTTTTTTCCTCTCTCTCTCTCTCTCTCTCTTTTTTTTCTTTTTTCTTTCTTTTGTGTGGGGACTCTTAATTGCTCAGAAACATTCCAGGGTGCACCTTACCTGCACCACGGTTGACACATTCAGCTACACATCCGTTCAGCCATCTCTCACCAAAATGACTAGGAGGAGGAATGCCCAACAGAAGAAAAATTCAGAGACTGGACCTTCTGCATCACAGCTATTGGATATGAACATAGACATTATGTCAGAAAGGGAATTCAGGCTAACAATTATCCAGGCAATAGCTAGGTTGGAGAAAGCCCTTGATGACAAAATGAAATTGAATAGGGCAGAAGTGAAAGCTACCAGGGATGATATTCACAATGTTCTCAATGAGTTCCAATCTAATCTAAATTCTCTAACAGCTAGGGTAACTGAGGCAGAAGTTAGAATTAGTGATCTGGAGGACAAGCAGATAGAGAAAAAGGATCAGGAGAAAGCCTGGAACAAACAGCTTAGAAGCCACAAAAACAGAATTAGGGAAATAAATGATGCCATGAAACATTCCACTGTCAGAATTATTGGAATTCCTGAGGGGGAGGAGAAAGAAAGAAGACTAGAAGATATAGTTGGTTGAACAAATTCTCCATGAAAATTTTCCCAATCTCGTGAATGGAACCAGCGTTCATGTACTAAAGGCAGAACGGTCTCCCGCTAAGATTATAGAATCTAGAAAGACCTCGAGACCCCTGATAGTGAAAATGATTAATCATAATTGTAGACAGGAGCTCTTGAAAGCAGCTAGGGCAAATAAATTCCTTACGTACAGAGGAAAGCCCTTAAGAATAACAGCCCTGTCCACAGAAACCTGGAAAGCCAGAAAGGGTTGGAAAGACATATTCAGGGCACTAAATGGAAAGAGCATGCAGCCAAGAATACTTTATCCAGCAAGACTGACATTCAAAATGGATGGAGAGATAAAGAGCTTCCAAGACTGGCAAGGTTTAAAAGAGTATGTGACCACCAACCCGACACTGCAGGAAATATTAAGGGGGGTTCTATAAAAGAGGAGAAATCCTAAGAATAGCATTGAACAGAAATATATGGAGACAATCTACAGAAACAGACTTCATAGGTAACACGATGTCAATAAAAACGTATCTCTCAATAATCAATCTTAATGTGAATGGCCTAAATGCACCCATAAAACAACACAGGGATCCAGTTTGGATAAAATGATGGGGCCCATCTGTATGTTGTCTACAAGAGAGCCATTTTGAACCTAAGGATACACCCAGACTGAAAGTGAAGGAATGGAGAAGCATCTTTCATGCCAATGGGCCTCAAAAGAAGGCTTTGGTAGCCCTTCTCATATCAGATAAATTAGATTTTAAACTAAAGACTGTAGTCAGAGATAGAGAAGGACACTACATCATTCCTAAAGGGACTAACCACCAAGAGGATCTAACAATTGTAAATATTTATGTTGCCAGTATGGGAGCAGCCAATTACATAAGAAAACTGTTAATCAAGGAGCGCCTGGGTGGCTTAGTGGGTCAAAGCCTCTGCCTTTGGCTCAGGTCATGATTCCAGGGTCCTGGGATTGAGCTCCACATCGGGCTCTCTGCTCCTCAGGGTGCCTGCTTCCTCCTCTCTCTGCCTGCCTCTCTGCCTAGTTGTGATTTCTCTCTGTCAAATAAATAAAATATTTAAAAAAATTTTTTTAAAAATTAAAAAAAAAAGAAAACTGTTAATCAAGATAAAGAGTCATATTGACATGAATACATTAATAGTAAAAGACCTTAACATGCCACTCTCAGTAATAGACAGATCATCCAAACAGAAAATCAATAAAGAAACAAGAGCATTGAATGACACATTGGATCAGATGGACCTCATAGAAATATACAGAACATTCCACCCTAAAACAACAGAATACTCATTCTATTCGAGTGCTCATGGAACCTTCTCCAGAATAGACCACATCCTGGGTCACAAATCAGGGCTCAACTGATACCAAAACATTGAGATTATTCCCTGCATGTTCTCAGATCACAGTGCTTTGAAAGTAGAGCTCAACCACAAGAAAAAGGTTGGAAGGAATTCAATCACCTGGAAGCTAAAGACCACCTTGCTTAAGAATGCTTGGATCAACCAGGAAATCAAAGAAGAACTTAAACAATTAATGGAAACCAATGAGAATGAAGACACTCTGGTCCAAAACCTATGGGATACAGCAAAGTTGGTCCTAAGGGGGAAATACATAGCTATCTAAGCCTCCCTCAAAAAAATGGAAAAATCCAGAATACACCAGTTGTCGCTATACCTTAAAAAACTGGAGAATCAACAACAAATTAAGCCAACTGCACACACAAGAAGGGGAATAATCAATATTAGAGCAGA